GGGGGGGCTGGGGAGGAAACAGACCTTCCGGAGAGGGCCTTGAGGAAGACTCAGGGCTGGGTGGGGGCCCTGGCTCTGCTGCCTCCCGGGGGGGTGGTTCTCATCCTCCCGCACCCAGGTCCCTCCCTGCTCAGCATCCTGGGGCCACGAGCTGCTTCCTGCCCTCTCCCCAGGCTGCTTCTGCCCCAGCTCCTCTCCTCAGCCCCTCGGGGAGCACTGGGAGGGCTGATGCCCCTCTCTGGGGTCAGGATGGGGTGGAGTCCCTCCACGGGACATCCTGCTGCACACAGATCCCAGCAGACAGGAGGGGGGATGGATGCTGGGGGTCCTTAGCTCACTAAGACCACCCATCGTGGGGTGCCCATCCTAAAAGGAGAGGCAGCCCCATGCCCAGAGCACGGAGGAGGTGGGGAGAGCTCCCCAAGCCTGAGCTCTCTGAACTCCACCAGCTGCAGGGTCTCCTCTGTCACCACCCATCCGTCAGCTCCTGGGGTCTCCCCCATCCTCCAGCACCCCCCACCCCCCAGGATGCTCAAAGGTGGCTGGACTCAGACCCCCCAGCCATGACCTGGAGGGTCCTTTGGGTTGGCCAAAGCAGGGTGGGCTCTCACCATTTTGCTGTCTGCTCCTGGCCTCCTTGGTGTCCTCCTCTGGGCAGGGCAGCTCCAGCTCCTCATCTGGAGGGGGAAGAGAGCAGAGAAGTCAGGAGAAGGGCTGGGAGAGTTCCACCCCAAACTCCCAGGCAGGCAGAAGGCTGTGAGAGCATCCGACTGCCAGGGTAATAAATCCCCAGCTTAATTGTGAAGAGTGGAAGGGAGGAAGTCACAGATAATATTTTAAAACGTGTTGCATAAAAATATGAATTGTTGTTAACACGGGTTAAAAACAAATCACTTCTCATAGCCTCATAAATTCAGGCAGCACTTTGCTGAGTGTCCTACAAGGAGAGAAGGTTCCTGTGCAGGACTTGCAGCCTGGAGCAAAGGAGGAAGAATTCCAGGAGGGAAATTGAGGGAGGAGAAGGGACAGGAGCAGAAAAAGGAGCCCAGGCAGCTGGCCTGGCTGCAGCTGGTGGAGAAAAGGGGGTGCAAGGAAATAATATGGAATGATACCATGGAAAAGGTTTAGAGGAGGGAGCTGCTGGAAGTCACGGACTGGCTGAGGTTGGAAGGGAGCCTAGAGATCATCTCCTCCAACCTCCAGCCATGGGTCAGCTAGAGCAGGTTGCTCAAAGCTTCATCCAACCTCATCTTGAACACATCCAACAGTGGAGCATCATCAACAGTGTCTCCTACTCTCATAGTGAAGAACTTATTTCTCATTTCTAATCTAAATCTTCCCTACCTGCTCCCCTGCAGTTTAAACCATTTCCCCTGGTCCTGTCACTGGGCACTCCTGGGACAAGTCCCTCTCCAGCTTCCTGGAGGTTCCTTCAGGTCTTGGAGGCAGTTCTAAGGTCCCCCCAGAGTCTTGGGGAAGCCCTGTGAAGATGGCTGGGGACTGAAGGGAAGAAGGATCCATGCAAAAATACATTTAAATCAGATTATTTAACCCCAAGCCAGGCACAACCCACCCAGCCTGAGCTGCTCTCTGTGCCAGGGTGAGCTGGGTGCTCAGCACCCACAGAGCTGCCATCCCAGCCTGGATGCAGTCACAGAGACTAGAAGGAACCCCCCAATTCTCAAACATTTCAGAGAGCACCTTCCTCAGCTGCAAAAAGCTGAGGGGCAGCCCTGGCTCAGGCTCCCTGCTGCATCCCAGGGGCCGTGGCTTTGCTGTCACCTTTAGGGGACCAAATCTGGGTCTTCTGCTGCTCCCCCAGCCCCTCCAGGGCTCCATGGCAGAGCTCGAGGTGCTGCTGCTGCTGGGTCCCTGCCCTGCCCCTGCTGCTGTCTCCTGCTTGGGCCAGATCGATGCAAACCAGCTCAGACCTCTGCTGCCAACCACCAATTGCAGCCCGAGCTGCAGGGTCACCCCAGCTCCTGCCCCATTAGATGAGAAACAGCCCCCCAAAAAATCTTTCCTAAATAAATCAGACTTTATTGTCCGCCTCGGCCGCTGACGAGAGGGAAGCTTGTTAGCATTGATTTTTAAATAAATTATTGAAAGTGGCTCTTTGCCTGCTCTTTGCATTTGTAAAAGAGAATGTAAATGTGGCTCTGGCAGCACCTTCCCAAAGCCTTCAGCTGGATTCCTTTCTATCTTTCAACCAACAGCCTCCAATCCCCTAATCTTGGCAGCCACACCAGCTCCTGTGTGCTCTGAGAACTCTTCTCAAAGCCTCAGCCCTGCTGACCACTTATTCTGTGTCTTTTCCAAGAGGTAAAAAAAAAAACCCAACCCCTTTTTCCCTTTTTTCCTCCTTTTTCCTCCTTTTTCCAGGAGGGAAAGCCCAGGGGCTGCCTGGCCCCTGCTCTGCAGACAGTTCAAGGGGCTGTGGTGGATGGAGCCTGTTGGGACAGGACAAGGGGTGATGGGTTTAAACTAAGAGAGGGAGGTTTAAACTAGAGAGAAGGAAGAAATGTTGCTGCTGAGGGTGGTGAGCCCCTGGCCCAGGCTGCCCAGAGAGGTGGTCACTGCCCCATCCCTGGAACCATCCCAGGGGAGGTTGGATGGAGCTCTGAGCACCCTGCTCTGGGCAGGGGGTTGGATGAGATGAACCTTGAAAGGTCCCTCCCCTCCCAAACCAGTCTGGGATTCTCTGACAGCAGCCGAGCTCCACTTGCCCTCCTCCACCTCATCTCCTCCTTCAAGGGGCCCAGCCTCAACCCCTCTGAACCCACAGCAACAAGTCCCTTTGTTGAGCCAAGCCTGGCATTGAAACTCTTCCTTCCCAGGTCCTGCCTGGTTGATCTCACCCAACATCTGGATTTTATCCTGATGAATCCGAGGGAAACGCTGAAAAATGCATCTCCTGGGGGGCTGGGGTGGGGGTTGCAGCCACACCACCCCCCTTTACACCCTCCCTGGGCAGCCCTGGCACCCATGCCCAGGGTGTAGAGCCCTGTGGCAGCTCCCAGCACCCAACTGCTGTGCCAGAGCAGCCTGGGCGTCGGGCAGATTCTCAGAGGAGCTGTGTTTTAATGTAGCAATTTGATTCAATTTTCCACTCTATAAAATTACCCATCACTGCTCGTTGCTTCCTAACAGACACCTTCACTCTTAATTTAACAATCCTATCGAATTCTGCCAGGGAAATTGGAAAAATTTATCACCTGTGAAATTTTATTTTTCCTTGGTTGTATCTGTTTTTGTAAAACTTCATTAACGACGATGACTTGCTGAGGAAATTATCTCTTCATCTCCCCCCTCCACCCCCCTCTTCTCCTTTTTACCCAAAAAAAAAAGGCCTTTTTTTGTGGTCCTGCCTGCACCTTGGCTCAGCAGGGCTGTGGCAGGGGGTGCAGGAGGCTTGGCCAGACCTCAGGGACAGCAGCAAAGCCCCTGGGACATCCCCACACCAGAGGGTCCTGCAAAACCCCTGCTAAAGCACCAGGGCAGGGACACAACCCTTTGGGCTGCCTCAGGAACCTCTCAGGAAGCTTTTAAGGAGCTGGGGTGGGCAGGACAGAGAGGAAAAGGCCATAATTTAAAGGCAGGGTTTGGCTGGGATGCTCCTGCCTCCACGCCAGGGTGCTCTGCAGCCCCAGCACCAGGGCACTGATCTGTGCACATCTAGCTGAAAAGGAGGAGAAACTTCTCTGCTGTGAGGGTGCAGAGCCTGGAGCAGCTGCCCAGAGAGGCTGTGGAGTCTCCTGCTCTGGAGAGATCCCAAACCCTCCTGGCTGTGACCCTGGGCACCCTGGATCTCCACTGGAGCAGGGGGGTTGGTTGAGATGATCTCCATCCCCTACCATCCTGTGATCCCTGAGGACCAAGGGTGACCCTGGCTGGCTGCAGCTCTTTCAGGACACTCTCCATCCCCAGCAGGATCTGTCCTTCAGCCAACACTGTGCAAGCTCCTAGCAGGACCACCAGGGTGTGGAGCAAAGCTCCCATCTCCTGCCTGCTCTGGAGCTGACCTTGGCAGCCCCAAGGCAGCCAGGACTCAGCCACAGCTCCCAGAGCAGCCAGGGCTGCTGCAAGTCCCCAGCCTGACAGACCACCAGCACCCCCCACACCAGCCTGGGGACCACCACCAGGGAGCCCAGGGATCACTGGAGGAAGAGAAAAAGCTGCTCCCCAAAGAGCTGAGGATGTACACAGAGGAAGAGGAGGTCAGGAAGGAAAGAGGAGTGATGGAGAGAGGCTGAAGCTCTGCCCAGGGTCCTCCAGGCTGCCCTGGAGCCCCAGTTCTGCTCCTTGCAAAGCACTGAGCAGACATCTCCTCTGGCAGCAATAACAAGCCAAACATCTCAGGCACCATAAAACTTTCCAGTGCATTTAATAGAGAGATTTTTTTCTTAATCACTACAAATATAAAGTCCTGAAATAAATAAGAAGAAACAAGGACCTGGTTTGCATCTCTCAGAAGGTGCAGAGCTGGGTCACCCCAACCTCAGCACCGAGGTGGAGCAGCACAGGGGTTTGAGAAGGGCTCAGGTGAGCTGTTGGCCAAGCCCTGGGGGATGTCACACCATGATTCCTGCCAGAACAGCAAGAAATGGTGCAGACCACCTCACCCTCACAGGCTGTTTGGTTCTGGGCCAGGGAGATTGCTCCTGGCTCCTTCAGCCACTGTCCTGCCACCTCCAGACCTCGGCCACTGTTTGTGAATGGGTGCTGGTCTTTAATGCAGTTATTTGATCATCTTTTGGAAGACCAGTGATTGTGTTAGAGCCACGACTGCCTGCCCAGAAGGGAGCACTTCCATCAGCTAAAGCCTGATTTTCCAGGTAACACAGCCCAGAGGTTTTTTAGAGGAACCCAACCTCTAAAAACCACCTCACCCAAATTTACAACCCCTTCACCTCCTCAGGACAGAAAGGGTCTTGGCTCTGGTGGCTCATCAACCAGTAGGAACAAAGAAACGTGATCAAAACTCTGAGGGATGGGTCTGTTAAGCTCAGCAGAGCCCTGGATGTTCATTCCCATCAACAGATGATGTGGCCGAGGTGTCCTGCCACGTTTGCAGGGCTGTGAGTGGAGGAGGGGTTGGGTTTGAAGCTCTTTGGTTGGTTGCTCACCTGGCAAGACCTCGTAGATGTCATCATCTTCCATCTCAACGTTCAGCTCCTCCTGAGTCAGGGTAGTATTGTGGGTTGTCCTGTTCCCAGAGTCAGAACCCTCCACGTCGTTGTAGAGCTCTTCTTCATCATCCTCATCATCACACGGGATAGTGAGGGAGCTCAGGTCTGGCAGGAGAGAGCGAGAAGCCTGGTGAGAAAGGGCAAAACCAAAGCACCAGCAGGATGCTGGTACCTCAGTGAGTTGAAATCAGGCAACAAATCCTGTGCCCACTGTACTTGGTGCTCAGGACCTTGCAGGGAGGGACCTGGCCCCTGGCGTGGCCCCTGAGCACCCAGTGTGAAGAAGATGGGCTGAGAAGAGGCTAAAACAAAGGAAAAGCCCAAGAAAAGATGGCAAAAGGCAAAGAACAGAGCCAAATTCAGCAAGTGCCTCAGGGAACTGAGCCTGACCCCGTTTCCAGAGGGTTTCCACACCCAAGCTTGGAGCCTTGTCACACAATTGCTGGTCTCCAGCTAGAGCCAAAGCTCATCCTTCATCAGCCAAGGCCAGAGCAGCAGATCTGCAAGGCCAGCAGCCAGGAGCAATTCCCACCCTTCTTTTGTCCTCCTTAGTGACACTCGGAGCCTTTGAGAGGCCAGACAACTGTCTTCTAAAAGCAGCCAACAGAGCTGAAACCAAATCCCTGTGGGCTGCAACCAACCCACTCTTCTTAACCACCTGCTCAACAGAGCAAAGGGCCAGAACCTCCCTCCTGCTGGGGCAACAGCAAGGTCCTGGCAGGGAGCACAAACCCACCCCCTGCTGGAGGGAGAACCTCAAGCCAGGTGGGAAGATGTTACCAGGCTCTGCCCAAACACACAAGACCTATTGGCTTGGACTGAGCTGCCAGACTCACCCTTCAGGAGGAACTGGATCTGATCCACCCAGTCTTCAGCCTCTGCTGGGCTCGGGGCTGTGAACTGGAGAGAGGTTCACCTGTCACTGTGCTGCTCCTTGTATGTGAGGAGAGGACAAAGATCTGCAGGTAGAACGAGGGGTGGAGATCCTGGACCTGCCATTCTCTCCCCTGTGGCTTTGGGAAAACCATTTCCCCTCTTTATCTCCCTCTTCCAAGCAGGGAACCAGGAGCGGAACCCAGGCAGACTATCCCAGAGGAAGCCTGTCAAGCCTAATTCATTCCAATAATCCAGATGAAAACCACAATCCCCACTGAGCAGACTAAGCCAACTGAACGAAGACTCTCCACCCACCACCTCCCTGAAGCTCAGGAAGGTTCTCGTGCACACTTTGTGCCTTGGGTCAGGTTTTTCATGACACCAGTTGTTCGTTTCCCCTCCCCTTGAATGCTCCACAAATGGAAGGTTTAAATTTAACCTGCCTCTGAATTGCTTATTTAAAAATGGGCTTTCCAAACTCAATCCTCTACTGCTTCTCTCCCATGCTCTTATTTATTTCTAGTGGCTCACAAGTAGAAAAAAGGCCCAGGACCCCTCTTGTGCTAAGGAAAGGTCCATCCTGAGATGACCCACCCAGGAGGAGAAGCTCTGGCACCTTCTGCAATCCCTTTTGGTTTATTTTACCAGGGGTTTGGAGCTTCCCAGCCCTCCCTGACCCTGCCCCCAAGACCTGGGACCACGTTCTTGTGTGCCTAGTGGCCCAGCAGCCCAGAAGGTCCATTTCTTCCCCCAGTTCCTACCTCGTAGGTGCGTTTTCCAGGGCAGCTTAACTCAAAGCAACAACTTTTCCTGGAGTCTTTGCGCAGGTGAAAAGCCCTCCGGGCACTGTAACGCTCAATGGAGAAGTTGCCTTTGGGTTGCTTGCCTGGAAGAAGAAAAACGTGGCCAAATCTGGAGTTGGCATCTTTTTACCAAGCTTGCAGTGCTGCTGGGTGGTGCAGAAGGTTGTTGCCCACCGAGGGAAACCAAAGAGAAACGGGCAGAAAAAGACCCTTCAGCCTAAGCATGGAAAACCAAAGGAAATATTTTTAAATCTTCATAAAGACCCAGTGAAGAGGATGCCCTCTTAAAGCTCAAGAGATTGCAGCCAGCCAGCCAAAGGCTGCTGGGGTCAGAAGGCTGCATGAGATGAGTTGATGGTAATGAAGCAGAGCCCACCCTGTACTTGGGGAAACCTCAGGCTGGTGATTATTTTGCTGGTAAGGCATTAACGGGGCAGTGTCCAGGAAGAAACACTTAGTGAGGCCTCTGAGGATTGTCCTGTGGAGCTGGTTGATGCACAGGCATGGCTGGTGTCAGCCAGGGTGGAGAGAGGAGCCCTCACTGCAGCCATCTCAGGAGGCTTTAATTACCCCAGCTCATTATTTCCTCCTGAATCTTCTCGAGGAAGTGTGGGAGTGTGATTCAGGCAGTTGCTCTGAACCTTTTCTTGATTTGCAGATCCTTACAAAAACTTCCAGGGATGAGGTCGTGCCCTAAGTAAAGGATTTCAGCCCACGACAACAGGTTGGTTTTACTCCTTGGTCTTCTGGAGACCCTTTGGAAGCTGACAACTGCTCATCCCTCACAGAAACGACCAAATATCAACCAGCTCACAGCCCTGCCAGGGGGAGAGGAGTTGGGAAGCTTGTTTGGAGCCAAAAAGTGCTCGAGATCCTCAGACAAAGAACATGGAAGGGGGACAAGGACCCAGCTTCATCCCCACCACCCGCTGGGCTTGAATCCTGTCCTAGCTGCAGAGTGGTCCTTGGAAACCAGGGATGGAGGGGTGTGTTTTGTGAGCCATTTTCATGCCATTTTTCTGGCTGGGTGGAAGAGGGGGAGGTCGTATATCTCCCCCTGCCAAACTCTGTTGGAGAGATGAGCTGTCTGTTTATATGTACCTGATGGAGCATGACTGCAAAATATTTATATACACTGACACAGGGATTATCTACAGTCACTTAGGGGGTTGGAGCCCAGCTGAAGGCTAATGGGAAACTTGCTACAACGTTTTATTCACACACAGCTCTGCTCCTCTATCAGGAAGGGAAACAAAAAAGGAAGCTGAGGTCTATCTCCCTAGAACCTGCACATTGTGCCTGGGTAGGGAACGACACCAGCCTGTCCTCCAGCACGGGCTCCCCCTCCTCTTTTCCAGCCCTTTCCATGCCCTCCAGCTCTGGGGACCAGAGGTAGATCTCTCACCACTTACTTTTCTCATTGGCATAGTAGAAAAAGGTCTTTCTGTTGAGGACACACCATCTCTTCTGCCACTCTGAGCCAAAAAAGCTGTGCTCTAGAAAGAAAAGGACAGCAAAAGGGTAAATATTCATTCCTGGTCTTTCACTGCGTGCTTCAGATGAATATTTAGGGGAAAGAAGACTATTTTTCCCCAACAAAACCCTGGCACAATGTTCAGGCAAGCAAATTTAGGTACAAAACCTCAAGCAATAAAAGGGATGCAGCCTGTCCTACAAGGCTGGAGCCTCCACCAGCCTTTCCCCAGCTCTCCAGGCAGGTGGGGCTGAGCTGCTGGGACCCCTCGTCCTGCTAAGTGGGAGGGAACACAGCTTTGGGTTAAACCTCCCTCCCTGAGGTTCAAGTAAATGGATTTCACTCTAATTGGAGCAAGCTAAAACAAGCTCAGGGCCAGTTATACAGCTCAGCTGCTGGCCATGAGGGAAAAAAAAAAAGGGCTGTTCTTACCTCATACCACCTGTCATAGAGTAAATAAATCAAGATAAAAATCTGAGCGATGAGGAAATAATTTGTAGCTTTCACAAGAGTCAGTAAAATCAAGATAAACCTGAGGCTGACTCACAGGCCTTATCTCAACTTGCTAATGTGTGTGATGCCACGAGCTGCCTCCTCTTCACGGGATTTTATCCTCATTAGGGGTTGCTCCTTAGAAGGGCACATCTTGCCTTAGAGGACTGGGCTGCTGCTTAATTCAATTGCTGGGGTTTAATCTTTGTGCAGTTTGATGATCTGCAAAAGGGAATAAACACAGGCTGTGCCCTCCCTGCTTGTCTCATGCCCAAGAAAAGCCTGAAAGCTTCTGCAGGGGCCTGCAGAGAGATCTGCAGCCAAGATGAGTTTTCCTGCTGGATTTCCATCTGCAAACTTGCATGCTTGGCAGTTCTGAGGGGACTGCCCCAAACCTGATCTCCTCAGGCCATACCTCGGGACCTCTTCTCCAGATAGCCTTGCTTCAGAATGTTCCCTGAGTCTTCAACAGCCTTCAGTGGGATCTCCTCCAGCCCTGCAGAGAGCACAGCAAAGCCAAGCCTTGAGATTTCCCATTCCCAACCCCTCAGCACCACATTTTCAGTCTCTTTCTCTGCAGAAGCAGCCTGGGAGGGCAGATTGGGGGCTGGAGGTGGAAATCATGGTCTACCATGATCTCCTCAGCTCTTCCCAACCCTGCTTGCAGGCTCCCAAGAGTCCTCAAGGAAACCAGGACTATGATTCACAGGGCTACACAGACCCATCCTCAGCAGCTTGAGGCTGGTGCTGCTTGGGGGGCTGATGCTCAGCCCTTTACCCCCAGCCAAGGATCTCTGGGAGCCAGAGGTGACTAATTAAATGTCACTAATCACCTCCCCAGTGCCCAGCCCTTGCAGCCTTTTCAGTAGGAATAACTTCCCAGCATCCCAGGTCCCAAGAGCTTCTCTGTTTTTTCCAGCACATCTCCCTCACACCCAGCTCTTGACCCAATCCCACCTCCCCATCACCTCCCTCATTCATAGCTGAGTTTAATTTCTGTGTTTTATAGTTTTTAAGCTCTGAACTCGCTATAAATCCTCTGCTAAATGGATCTGGGGGTGAGTAGTGGACACACAGACACGTGAAGTTTGGGTTGGTGGGAAGGTTCCTCTGCATCTGCCTCCTCTGTTCACCAGATCCTTCAAAAACCAAACCCTGGAATTGTGCAAAGCTGTCTGAGGAAATTCAGACTGGAGGATGCTCAGGGTGCTGGGGGCTTGTCCCACATGGAGAAATCTCTTTTCTCTGCAGTGTGACTCAGGCTGAGCTCACTTCTGAGGCTGCTCTGGGGAAATGCAGCGTGGCAGCTCCAGCAAGGATGGGAAGGAGCAGGGATCCACTTGGGTGTGTGCAACTCACTGCACGAGGAGGTGGGAGCTGAGGGCAAATGGAGACCTTCTACAACCACTGCTGAACGTCAGACTTATTATTTCTCTTATAATGAAAACAAACGAGGTTGCTGAGAAGGACCTAAATTCCCTCAGGGAGTTCAGACTGGCCAGTATCAGATTTTTCCCAATGAGGAAAGCCACAGAACAATGCCCCAAGGAGATCCTGGACCTTTCTCAGGTGGAGGTGGCCCTGGGCACCCTCAGAGATGGGACCCTGCCCTTCCTGGGACTCTAAGGGGACCAAAATGTCCCTCCCAGGGACATTTGGCACCTTCCAGGGTACCAGCTTGGCATCCCTCCTCCACGCCCGGGTGAAAGCACCTGCCCAGCACGAACGTGCTGAGCTTTTTCTCTAGTTCTGCTGAGAATCTGAGTGGCAAAACAACCACAATATCTTCTCAACCCTGAGCCCCGACCCCTTTGGCTAATGCAAATCTAAATCTCATTTTACAGGACGTGTAGAACGATGAGAAGGGGACGGTGCTGCCGGGTGCCCAGGGAGACCCTGCCTGTATGAAGATTACATTAGTGTGCCCAACGCCAGCTCGCTGATCCCGCTGGCAGGAGCATAAAAAAGGCTGGAGTGAAACTTTTATTTAGATGTTAAGAAGCCAGAGCCCAGCGGGGGGACGGAGGCGGCCCCGGCGAGATCCCATCAGCGGCGAGCTCCGATTGAATTACCCAGGGGGGAAGGCAGGAGCTGCCAGTGCTGCTTCGCTTCTTTCATTTCATTTACTTTCAGTCCATTATCAGCATGAGGCTTCCCTCTGCCTCTGCTCCCCCCCTCCCTCCCCAAAAACCATCCGTGGGCGTCGCTGGCGTGCGGGACCAGCCGAGGTGAGGATGCTCCCGGGCATCCCGGTGCTCCTCGGGAGGCTGGTTCTGCTCTTTCCTCCGTTGCCAGGAGAGATTTAGGGGTGTGCAAGGAGCTTTCAGACCCCACAGAGAGCCACCAAGGCGGGGAGGCACCAGGGAGGGGATGGGAGCCAGCAGCAAGGTCCCCCAGCCCCGTGCCAGCTCTCCTTGCCCACCCTTCTCAGCGCCCTGGGGCAGCTGCTGCCTCTCACTCGTGCCCTGCCCTGCCCGAGATCAATGTTCCACGTAGGCAGATCCCACATTTCAGGTTATTTTTGGCCCTGGGTGCCAGGATTTGCAGGGCTGGCAGATCCCCAGAGCTGGGGGAGCTCTGCAGCATCACCTCTGCAGCACCAGCAGGAGCCCAGACCTCTCCTGCTCTGCAAGAGCCACCCTGCCTCAGTTTCCCAGCAGGAAAACCAGCAGGAAAGGCGACTCCCTTCTTCTTAAATACTCGGTGGCTGCTCAGACAAACTGATCCAATTAAGGAGGGGTTGTGAGGGCTGATTCAATTGCACGAGGCTCTGGAAATTTTAAGTTTTACAGACTCTGACATGAAGATGGCAGCTGTAACCTCTGTGTGAGATGCAGCCTCTCTAATGCAGCCCTGCTCACGCAGAGCCAGGAAGATTAAATCTGTGTGAGGTGGGTGACTTGGGGGGGGAAACATGGCACAAGGGGCTGTGCCTGGGGGGACGTGGGGTGTCCCCATCCCTCCCTGCGTCCCCAAGCCTGCCCCTAACCACAATCCAGATGGCTTTTGCTAGCAGCAAAGAGCTAAATCAACCTGCAAAGACAGTCCCTGAGAGGGGGGTTATTTCTTTAAACCATCCTAATGGACAGCCAGAAGCCCCTGAGGAGCTGGTGGGAGCCCAGCTCCAGGGAGCTCTCTGGTTTCCAGGGGCAGAGGGTTTCTTTGCCCAGGCAGGCTGTGCCCCAGGACCACAGAGCCAGCAGGTAAACCACAGCTCACCCCATCTTCCAGGACTCCACAGGATGGCAAAGCCAGCCCATGGCCTGGGCATCTGTTCCAACCACTAATGGCCACTCACCACTTATAAAAACAGACACAAAAAGCCTTAAATTCATCTGAAGGAGACCCATCTGTGCTCTCCCAGGCACACGACCCCTCCACGGTCACTCCTGGCAGGACTGTGGCTGTGTTTGGATGGTCTCAGTGGTCCCTTCCACCCTGGCATCTCCCCAGGCCACCCTTTGCCCAGCAGACAGCTGGTACTGGCCACCAGCAGCTCCAGCCCCTCGTGGCCTCTCCTCCACCCTCTGCAGCCTCTCAGGCCTGGCTCTGGAGGGAGCTGCTCATCCCTGAGGATTTTCCTGCAGATGAATTCCCCAATCCACGATCCCCATCACTCCACAGAAGGGCTGCACATGGGCAGCCCTGGGAATAACTGTGCCTGAATCCTGGGGATGGAGCTCAGCAGAGGATACAAAGCTGGAGCATTTCAGGAGTGGGAGAAAAGTGGAGCCAGAGACTCATCCCCACAGATGCAGGAGCAGACATTGGCTCTTTCCTTTCCCCTCTTTACGGCAGCTCAACCTCCACGGGGACTTGCCAAAGGATGGTCTCAGCCTCAAAGGCTTCACCCCTGCACCGAGCTCAGCCCTGGCCACCAACCGAGGCTCTGGCTTCGCTGACCCAACGGCATCTTTTGGGTGAAGTTCCTGGGAGTTTGGCTGCCAAGCACTGTGACCGTTCCACCCCATCCTCACCACGTCCTGCAGGACCTCTGGCTGTCAGCTCCAGCCCCTCCAGCCTCTGAGTCACACACACCAGCTGCACAAAATGTCACAGGAGCCGCAGCCGAACATGCCCAGGGGCCACCTCGGTGCCCACGCTGTCACATCAACCTCCTGTTCAAAGGGCTGGAGCTCAGAGGCACGACAGTTCCAGCTCATTCCTCCTCCTCCTCCAGCTCATTCGCCGGGCTCAGACGTGCCAAGAGCAGATTCTGCTCGCGGGGACTTCGCAGGGAACACCCAAACCCATTTCCCAGCAGTCCCCCCAGCCCTCCGTGCTGGCTGTGCTCTTTTTCCATTGAAACTAATGAGACAAAAAACAATCAGAAAGGGCCAAACGGCCCCTCCCGCTGCCTTCAAAGCCAGACAGGCTCTGGAAATGCTGAAAGCTTTTGGAGATGCCACCCCCTGCCAGGGTTCAGCACAGCAAACGGGGCCAGGAGGTGGCTGCTGGGGCTCCTGGCACCAACGGCCACGGTCGAGTGGCATCTGTGGGGCTAGGACTAGGGCAGGGGTTGTCCCCCTGGTCTCAGCACTGCTTTCTCCTGGCCAGGGTTGCCCAGGGCTGTGCCAGGCTGCCCAGGGCAGTGGGGGAGTCCCCACCCCTGGAGGGGTTCCCAAGCCGTGGAGATGTGGGGTGAGGGACACGGGGCAGTGGGGACCTGGCAGTGCTGGGGGGGTGGTTGGACTCCAGGATCTTAAAGGTCTTTGCCTTGTAGAATCATGATTCCATGATTCTATGATGCACATGAGTACAGATCCCCCCAAGACTTCTTCCCAGGTACCCTGAAAAAGTTACCAGCCAGATCCACCCCACAGTCCAGTCCCTTGTGGGAGGACAGGACTGAGCTTGGCCCCAGGCTCTGGTTAATGGAGACTGGATCCATCTGGCACAGTTGGGAAGAACCTTCTAGTGCTGGGCAAATGCTGCAGCCAATGCTGGGCAAGGACTGATGTCCCCAACCAAAAGGAGCAGGAGGAGAAAGACTCTCATGGGAGGTGAGCCACCATCCATCATCAACACAGCCCCCACATCTCTGCCTCCTTGTCCCCCTGCTCCAGGTCACAACCCATCTCCTCGGTGGCTCCAAGATCCTCAGAGCCCCTTGGACACTTTCTCCTCCATGCCTCAGGAATATCACCAAAGCTTCCAGTGCCTTGGAAACACCCGGGGATCGTTTATAATGGTGGGAATGAAATGAGCAACTATTTCCAAGAAAATGGGGAGCTAAACAATTGTCAACATGGATCATAGGAAATAGATCTTGTGCCAGGCTAATTTTATTGCATTTTTTTGAGGAGGAAAATAAGAAAGTAGATGAAGAAAAGGCAAAGCACGGCGCAGCAGAGAAGATTTATGTGGGCTTCAGCTTGACTTTTCAGAAGTGGCTAGTAAGCAAAATTCAGGGTGTAGGCATCCACCCCAGGATAAGCACCTCCACTGAAAACCATTCAGCAAGCAGAAGGCACCTAAAAATCAATGGCAACAAAT